CTAGGGTTACAACCTTTCGGAATCGGCGTTGCCAATGAGTATTTCAAATTAATAAGAAACGAAACTTAGGACAACGCTTTGTTAGACAGACGAGATGATGAACGATAAGAAGTTGAGAATTTGGGAGTGGAGCCCTTCAAGCTGAACATACTTGGTACCGTCGAGTTTAATGCGTAGTAGAGAGCTCGGTAGGAGCGGTGAACTTCGAACTCGTTACAGATATCTGATCATTTACAACACGGATGGGTAGTGCGCCGCCTATGCGAGTGAACTCATTAGTGCTAGATGCTAGGGGCTGTAGGTTCGTGCCCTCTATCATTGGAGGATAAAGTGCCGGCTTCCGGAGCCGCTTCAGATATGCGAAAATTCGCTTTGGGGTGGTTGCAAGCTGCTCTTCGAAATCCAAAGGTTTGCTGGTATTCGCACAGTTGTTATCTATCTCGCAGTCGTCGACCAAGCTATAGTGGATGAGTTTGTTCACGATCTGCGTCAACGCCGAGCCACTTTACTATATTCCTTGCCGAACCAATGTTGCATGACCGGTCCGACTTTCTGACAGTTTAGGGGAGCAAATAGGTCACATAACGAATTTAATTCACTCGTTATAGCTAATCAGCAAGCTACAACGGATGTCAATTGCGGCAGAGACCAATCAACTTGACTGGAGGCAATCGACATCGGTTTTCCTGTAGTTATAAGCTAACTGCAGTGTGTGGGATCGCTACAGCGGTATTGAGTGGTCGCTCGCTACTAGAGGGTTCAGGATCCGAATGTCATACACAGGTTGTTCAAAGTTAGTTAACATCAAGTCCAAGCACGATGGAGGTGAGCGCGGTGTTTTGCGCGTCGATTAGCAGATATGTGGTGCTGTCTCAGGTTCAACTCTCGTTTAGGCGAACAATGTTTTGACACAACAATATCCGGTGAGCAGCTGAACTTCGGGTCAATGCATTAGAGGACAACTGAGAGCACTTATGCGTGGAAATAGGGGCGACTCATGTGGGCCCGGAGATGTGGCGTCCAATCAAAAAATGGCTTAAGGTTCTACGATAAAATGCGCACACGAGTAGCTCTCCGCATCTAAGATGAACAGAGCACCACAAGTGCTCACAAAGACCACCTTCGCTTCGGTGGACGCTCACAAGTCTCCCAGATAGAGAAGACCAGTTGTAGAGCAAGACGCCACGGTGGGCATTCGATAGTCGATCACAGCGGAAGCACAAATAGCCACTAAGCTCAACTTCCTGTGTGCGTACTTCATCGTGCAACTACGTCTATGCGAGTCCCAAAACATCTGGTCGCTCGAAAGCAACGAAACGACACGGCTCATCGCGCTTCAACCTAAGACTGTAGACGTTGGTAAGGGCTACACGCAGGTTGTGGTAAAAGTACCGGGCGATCCTGAAGTATGAACGACGGATTTAACCGGATTCGCGTTCGAGTTGTAATCATGCGGAAGTCTGCTATACAGAGATTTTTTTCACCCTTACTGCTTCCCCGCTTTAGCTCAATGATGGCTCAGTTGAGACACTCTTGGGCAGTTGGATCCATATATGGAGGAATATGCACATTCGTGCATCTCAGCCGAGACCGTATTAGCTTCGGGCTGGCTGTACAGTTGTGAAACCTGGCCGCTTAAAGTAGCGGACCTGAAGACGCTAGTTACGTTCGACCACCGGTGCCTTCGTAATTTAGCTCACATCTGGTGGGAACACCGCGTGAACAACGAGCGTGTTCGACGTCTTGTTTACGGCACAGAAAAAGCAAATGAACCGCTCAGCACCATCATTTCACGCACAGGGCTCGGATGGCTGGGCCACGTGTTACGCATGCCAGCCCACCGACTCCCGCGACGTGTGTTGTTTGCGCGCCGGGGGTGTGGATGGAAGAAGAGGAGGGGTGGCCAAGCGATGACTTGGTCCAGAGGAATGAAGGCCCTCACTTCTGAGCTGGCCTCGGTTGGAGCGTCTCGGCTCCCTGGTTGGGGTCCGAAAGGCGATGAACACGTTTGGTTGGACACACTTGCTGATATGGCTAGGAGCCGACCTCAGTGGCGTTCGTGCTGTGAGTTTCTTTGTCCCACCCCATCCCTCTTAGCCTCCCCTCCAACCACGATCTCATTATTTAGCCTTATATAATTTTGCATAGTAATTTTTTTGGTGCACAGTAGCCGGCTGGTAGCTTACCGGAACGATGCCCATCCGTTACCGGTAGCTCAGCCGGCTTGCACCAGTTGCTTTTTTCTCTCCTTTTTTCTGTGTATTGCGGCACAGTAGCTGAGGTGTTCCCCACCTCTAGCTAACGTGTATGATGATGACGATGAGCGCGGTTTTTCTCGACAGTATTGTCGCGGAGGCGGATGACTTGCTTCATTTTCACTCCGTACTCATCCACATCGAAGAGCCCATCAAATAGGCTTCGTAAAGAAAACTCAATGTCGTGATCGTAGAGAGCCAGCGGACTTAGATAGGTGGACTCAGGGGTAGGAAGAACCATCAGATTCGACCGCTTCAAATCATTTGAAGCGGTTCTTGTGGTGGCCTAACAGTGTGCTTAACCGGGCTTGTTGTTGATCAGAAGCGGGTAACATTTTGTCGTTTCGCGGCTTAATCCGTCGCTGAATTTTCCATGGCTCCTCAACCGTTAGACATTCCTCAAGGCCTGCAGAGTTAGCAGAACGCAAAGTCAGTGGATCGCTATTATCAGTTGGTGTCGTACTTCTGGAGAAATTAGGATGGTGAGGTAATGAATTATCAGAGGAGGGAGAACGACGGAATGAAGGCTGTGTTGAATCTTGGATCGAATCCAGACCAGTTCGTGTAACCATATGTCTGGAACTACTCACAGATAAACATTTATGCTGCGATTTGTATGAGTAGACGTACGTTCCTCGGGCTACCTTTCACTGCGACAACCGCTGCATGAAACATAGAGGAAATCATGTTGAATGGGACGCAAGAAAACGATAGGAATCAGCATGTAATCCAACACACGAAATGTGAAATGTTGCACAAAAATCAAAGCATGTAAAGGAGCCTGCCGCGTGCCCAGCACTTCTGAATAGGAAGCACATGGCGATTTCTTCGGTAGTTTGAAAAATTGGCGTAAAAGTAACGTGAAGTGAGGTGGAATTTGCAACACGGGACTCTAAAGCCATGCGTTACTATAAACAGCAGAGAACCGTACAGGCAGACCATAAAGACCTGCAGTCACGTATGATGTACTGGGTAATAACAACCATACTAGCTCCCTAGAACAACAAATAGCAGTAAATAAGTTGCGTTGGCTTGGGCACGTGCTACCTATGTCTGTTCACCGATTACCTGGAAGGGCCTTGTTTAGTATACTAGGTGCGGGGTGGCGCAAGACTCGAGGCGGACAGAAGTTGACTTAGCAGAGGGAAACGATGTCACTGACGAACAAACAGAGTGCCGTTGGTCCGTCTCCCCTTACGGGCTGGAGTCCACGTGACTCGTCTTCTGCTTGGCTCGGGAACTTACAGGACCACGCTAGCAACCGACACCAATGGCGCGACTGATGTCTCCGGATCGGACTACCTGTTTAACGTGTGTTTTCTGCTGAGTTATCTGCGTGGTAATGACTGATTATGACGCGGGGCAGTGAAATCCGCAAGAAAGCTGTCACACCGATGCCGCCTTATCTTTGCACGATAGCCAGCTGTTTGTGACGGTATGTTGTCTACACAAGGTGTAGGCGCCTTGAGCCTAAATGTTTGCTTAGGGCATTAAGGTTTTCAGGTAAGTCCCCCCCTTCTCTCCCTTTAATTATTCTTTATTTCATAAATCATGGTTGTATGGCAGCGAAGCATCAGTTCAAATGGTTGATGTACTGCTGTTGATGATGATGACGATGCTCCGCCAGCGGAAGCTGATAGCAATGAGATCAATGTAAGACCACGCTTGCGTTGGTGAAGGGTGAGGCCAAGTTGCGGAACGCTGCTTCGTATAACTGAGGTCGGTGCTGAAGACAGAAAGGATTGTCTTCGTGCCATTAGTAAAAGCTTTCGACAATTACCACATTCTTTTCGGATTCGCAAAGTACGAAGGTGTCACTTGACCTGACATCTTCAACCTAGTCTTAAGCTTTCGATTTGACCGGTCAAACAACCAGGCAACAAATTTCCCAGTGCGATTTCATCATACATAAGTAGCGCTATGTTAACATCAAGCACTAAAGAGAGCTTACACGAAAATAATTATTAATGCTGCACTAACTTCTGGTGTGGATCCTTGTTAAGGAAATGGGAATGTTTGCTTTGCTACGGATCAGTATTGTCCGTGATTCCTTAAAACTGACAAATGTTGGATGAAAGTCATCCACCTCGCAGCAGTGGATGGTAAGCTTTGGAAAAAAAACATTAAATCTAGGCGAGAGTATGAAGTTGGCGACTGTCAAGTCGAATGACCGATTCGCAGGACCAGGGTGTGAGTCCGACAGCCAGGTGCTATCGTTCAAATTGAGATGGTTGAATAGTATCCAATTGGATAGTTTCACAGAAGTAATCAGCGCATGAGAGGCGAACAGCAATCACACACGAGAGTGTTACACACTATGAGAAGTGCAGTTGACACCAGTCGCACATAAGTAGCTACGATCAGCTGATGTGAAGGTTACCGGTTAACAGGCCAACTTCACAGGTTGACGCTTACATCACGTGAAGTAGTTCAGATAAGATCACGCTCCTAAATGCATGACAAATGTTGGTCCCGAGATCACAAGAAAACCGAAGAGAAATTATAAAAAGTAAAAGCACGGCTTTGATTACTGAGAAACGAATCATAGAATAACACACTGAAGAAGTATGCTCTCATGATCGTACTTCTGTAAACAATCCACAAGTAAAGGTTTTTGACGTGAATAACATCAAAGAACCAGTATGTGCTGAAAAAGTATTAATTAACGAAATAAGATCGTGAACATATGAGGGGGGGGGGGCAAACATGAAGTGGACGTTTCTCCAACACACAGGCAAATCTCACCTGAACGTACACAACCCAGAGGATGAAGCAGAAGAGCAGGTCGAACAGCATGAGGAGAAGGTAAGTGCGGCGAACAGGGGAGGTGCGCTGTTCATCCGGCAGTCCCTCGATGACGGAGGTGGACGCAGCCAAGTTGACACTAAGGGAGAAACGTGAACGGTAAGACTGTTTCAACTGAACATGAGAATCGTAATTGCTGGTATGGAACACATACCTCAGGATCACACAACCGAGTTACTAATCGAAAATGTCACGAAGCCTGTCTATGAACGCGAGCACTCTCAGTTCTTCCTAATGGCAGGGTGATGCTATTTGAAAACACTTTCAAAAGTAAAAGTTGCCACTGAGTATCACCCAAACGACAGGAGCACGCCTCCGAAATTGGTCGAGGAAAATGTTATAAAATTGGCACAAAATTTGCAACAGAATAAAGATAGTGTAGATGTCGATGAAACGTAAAAATAGAATGTCGTGGAAAGTGGCACATTTATCGTGGACAGTCAGCTAAAAAACAACTCGGAGATAAAATGACGAGGGAACCCGGGAAGGCATGAAACGGAAATTAATCAAAATGTAAAAACACTGAGTGTGTCATCACATCGTGACAGACAGCTGCACCGACAGCTGAGCAAAGTTGCCCTTAAAAGTTAAAAGGTTAGTGAGTTGGGAATTCACGAATTCTTAAATGTTAAAGAGAAGATGGCTAAGGAGGAGTAGACAGTGTACCAATGATAAATAAGTACATGGTTTACTCTCGGCAACGCTAGGTCCGCCTAAATAGGAATGATAATGATATCATCATTATCATCATCATTAGCAACAGCAGTGCATCAGCCATTTGAACTGATGCTTCGCTGCCATACAACCATGAGGACCTATGAAATAAAGAATAAGAAGAGGGAGAGAAAGGGGGACTTACCTGAAAACCTTAATGCCCTAAGCAAACATTCAGGGTCAAGGCGCCTACACCTTGTGTTAGCATCATACCGTCACAAACAGCTGGCCATGGTGCAAAGATAAGGCGGCATCGGCGAGACAGCTTCCTTGCGGCTTTCACTGCCACGCGTAATAATCAGCCATTACCTCGCAGATAACTCAGCACCAAACATACTTTAAACAGGCAATCCGATTAGAAGGCGGCAGCAGACGCGCCACTGGTGTCGGTAGCGAGCCATGTCCTGTAAAGTCTCGAGCCAAGCACAAGGTGAGTCACGTGGACTCCAACCCGGAAGGCGAGACGGACCAACGGCACCCAGTTTGGTTGTCAGTGACTTCATTTCCCGCTGCCAAGTCAACTTCTGTCCACCACGAGCCTTGCGCCATCCTACACCTCGTAGACTGAACAAGGCCCTCCTAGGTAAGCGGTGACCAGGCATGCGTAGCACGTGCCCGATCCAACGAATCATACTAGGTGAAGCCATTTGTTGAATCCCTTGTTCTTGGCCAGGGAGGGAAACAAGAGGTTTATGATCCGTACAGATCGCGAAGGGTCAGCCAAGTAAATATTGGTGAAATTGGGTAGTAGCGAAGATCACAGCTACCGCCTCTCGATCAAGCTGCGAGTAATTTCGTTCTGCTGCTGTCAATGTTCTTGTGGAATAAGCGATAGGTCGCCGGCAGCCCTCCGGTTATTCGTGCAGTAAAACAGCTCCAAGACCGTAGGGTGAAGCATCACAAGAGAAAATAACAGACTTTTGTGGGTCGTAATGCACAAGAACATCTGCTAATGCTAAAAGCTTTTAACCGCAGTGAAAATATTTTCATAAATCCTGTTCCAATTCCAAGTTTGGTTTTTATATAGTTGATGAAGTGGATATAGATGTGCTGCTGCCGACGGTATGAACCTTGAAAACTGGGTAACGGCACCCAATATTTTTTTAATCGCATTAGTGTTCCCATCTTCTTCACCATTTTCTTCTGCCGTGGTTCTGATGGCACAATGTCTGTTAACAGACTGTGAATATATATATATATATATATATATATATATATGTATACCCAAGAGGGACCGCAGTTCAGGAACATTTTTGGGTGCCGACACTTCAAGCAACCCACTTCTTCTTTTAATGGGCACAATCTTCGCGATAACAGATACCGAAGGTCCTGTACACTCGGCACAAGAACTTCACACTTTTTTATAAACCAAGCCGGCGTCTAATAATCATTTCAGGACGACATACAAAGTATGCAAGCGTTCGGTGATAGTACGTCCAGTAACCAGAATGTCCTGTATGCAAATGTGTTTGGTGTGACCTTCACTAGCGTGTCAATACTATGCTGAAAGATAAGTGCGGCCGAGCTTATCCCAAATGGCATGCGTGTATCGCGAAATAATCAAAAGTGGGTGCTAATGGTATTGTATGCATGTGATCCCTCATCGAGTTCAATTGGTTGGTAGGCGTGGCTCAGATCGTTTCACAAAAAAGCTCGCCACAGAAGAGAGAAGCGTAAATGTCTTCAATCTTTGGCAGCGGATACCTGTCTAGCTGTAATGCCTGATTGATCGGGACTTCATCGTCCCCACAGATTCATATGGCACCATCACTCTTCAATACTGTCACTATAGGGGCTGCACAATCCGAATATTGAACAAGTTCAAACGTACCCTCTAGCTGGAGTCGTCGCAACTCTCGACGTTATCACGAAGTGTATAGGGAACAGATCGAGGTATCTAAAATCTCGGTATAGTCTGTGATTTCAACACTAGATGATCGGCGAAAATTTTCTAAAAGCCTTGCCCAGACTCATCGAACAAAAGCGAATGTTTCTGCAAACTACCAGATAACTGTGCATGGGTTTCTACCTAATTGACGCTTGACACGATGCTGGGAAGGCGTTTAATTCCGTCACGAGCAAGTATGTTTGGGTCAGGTCCTCCAGAAACGTACTCACACATATAATTCATTGAATTATGATAGGAGATGTGTGTAATAAATGTGCCCATCACCTTTACCATCTGTCCCGTGTAAGATCGTAATTGTACATTTGGTGGATCTAACTTTGAGAGTAATGATGGGGCATCCGGTTGTAACAGGGTAACTGTGGAACCGGTGTCAATTTTAAAATATACAAGTTCCCCGTTTACCTTGACAGACACGACAAAAGGCTTTTCCGACGTTATGTTGCGATTAAAAACAGTTTTGGTATTGATCCAGTTCTGGTGTAAGTTCTCGGTGATGCAGTTTGTAGGTTTATGTTGCACAGATGCAAATGATTTCCTATTGGAAAAAGATATTTTCTGAAGATGACCTTCTTTACTACAAAATCTGCAGACTGCATGAAGGTGCTGACAGTCAGTTGGGGACAAATGAGGTTCCCCACAGAGCTAACAACGAAATTTTTTCCGCTGCACAAGTTGACTAGAAGTTTGATGACAGTTAGTTTGGGAAACTTTGTTTACAACCTGTGAGATCACCTGACTGGAGGAAGAAAAGGTAGCAAGTTCCGGAACGAGGTTTGCACGCTGTCGGACAATAGCATGAGTATTTTTTCCCAAGTCACGAGCGTTTCTTCATCGGACAGTAGCCGCTCTCATGCCTGCTCATCGAGAACACACACAATTAACGCCCGTAACAGCATTGCTTTTTCGAACAAGTTCGGTTGAACCTGATCAGATGCACAATCGAGAAAGACTGTAAGAAGTCGAGAGATAAACTCATTTACACTCTCATGCGATTGTTGTCGCATGGTGTTGAATTTGTAGCATACTGTGAACACATGTGTCTGTCACCCCAAAAGTTGGTCCAGAGAAAAGAACACAGATCGCAGGTCTCCTTGTCATGTAGTTCCAAACTGTCGAAATGTCGCTGGCCCTCATTACCGAGGTGGCGGCGTAGTAGTTTGATTTTTGCTGCATCGTCTACCATGTAGTTGCTGCCAAAAAGCAAAAGTAGACCAACGCAATTAATGAAGTAATTTGCCACTGTGTCCATTGCTGGGTAGTAGGTCTTTCAGTAGAGGAATTCCAAAACGGTAGGGGTGCCGTAATCGAACTGGCCATGAGTAATACGAATAAGCTTCATCGTCAAGATGTCATACCCAAGCGAAATTAGGACAGCGGTATGGTAGCAGGAAAACTTGAGCAACAAGCGTGAAGCGGTACACACCACAGCACATGATTGTTACGAAGTCACATGAACACTAGAACGAGTTGCAGTTCGAAGCGAATCAATGGCAGACACAGATTGGTTGGTATATAAAAGCGTAAGCATACAGGTACACGCGCTGTTACGCAGCAGACCTTTTCTTAGCGGAATAGCAGTGAACGGAAGTGGCACGACCACTGACCGTATCAGGGGCCACAGTGACAAGCAAATCGGGAACTGGATGCCGCCAACGATATGTGTAGCAGTGTTGCATGGGTTTGTATATGCGAGGCTGCATTTTTGACGGCCATCGCGCCACCAATGTGAGGTAAGTGAGGTCCGTGGATTGGAGATGAATGCACAACTGCCATGTGATGTCAGAAACTAAGCAGAATAGCCAAAGAGCATAGAAAAGAGAAGATCATTGCTGTTGTCTCAAGACATATTAAGCTGTAAGTATGCAATACCACGTCTGGCATAAGTAGACAAAAAGGCAACAGTACAACGAATGACGGTTGTCCGTAATACCTGTGAATATCGAATAATGCATGTACAGCTTAGAGAATTGCATTCGAAAAGCTTTGGCGTATTGATAAATGGAGCAGGCGTTTATTCAGTATATAGTGAAGGGACGGGTGTAGTGGGAGCTACGAAATTTGGCAATTCATTCAGCTGATCCAAAATGTGAATGAAACAGTCAACCAACGATAACATGAATGTCTGGGAGCTGTGTAACTAAATTTGATGCGATAAATTTTATTTAGACAAGGCATCTGCGCAAGTCACGCCAACCTACGCAACACAGCCAGATGATCCTTCGTCACGGAGCGCAGCGAAACCGGCTCAATGTAACGTCTTCTCTTCTAACGCTTGCTCATAGGATCTGCTCTTCCTCCACTAGTCTCAAAGTGCAAACGCTCGTCGTGTGACAACCTAAGATGGTTTTGTTAGCCAGTCGAATGCGAAGGCTTGTCCTTCGCGATCTTATGTACCATGCAATCACACTGCATCCACCAGCCGGTTCAATTCTGACGAAAACAACGCGGAACACGGG